CGGGATGCGGGTAATCGCGGTACGAATCGAGGTGGGTACTTTAGACGGGTAATCCTCCGGTTGTCGTTGCGCTGGAACCCCCATCCCCTATACTACTAAAGTCTTTCGTCCAAAAGTGCAACGTTTTTGGACTTGAGCTCGCAGATGCAAAGAAAAATGACTAAAAAAACAAACGACGAGAATTATATACAATTTTTAATTCTACACAAAATGTAAATAAATCAGATTTGTTATATAGCTACGAAATCTTCCGATATACGAACACTCTCATTGGTTGAAAGATGACCACGTGACACTAGTAAAGCCTAAATGTATCCAGACCGGGAAATAAGTTGCACGTGACAATAAAGAATCGTGAAAATAAACAAGTGCACGTGATCAGAACGTGAAAATCGCTGATGGCGTGATATTTTGCACCAATCAAAAACAACAGAGCGGGAGCAGATATTTTGCTTGAATTTTCAGTACAAATGGAGCTCGAAGCGAAACAATAGAGATTTTCCAGTGTTTCTACAGAGAAATTACAGACTCTTGAGAAAAAGGATTCGGAAATTTATAAAAAAGCGACTAAAACTGCTGCTGCTGCTCTCCTTGCTTTTTGGTAGAGAAATACAGAACCGTATGTGAGTTGTATTTGTAAAATCATAGTCAGTTTTTGTGTATTTAGCTTGCTGAATAAAGTTCTTATTTCGTAAATTGACTTCTCAATATTTTTCAATTGCTATATAACAAAACACTTAATGTCTGGTCCCTCGGGAAATTAGTTAGTTTAAATTGTTTTCCCTCGAGTCTCGATGTTTCTCTCGGCTTCGCTAACTATTTCCCTCGCGACCAGACATTAAGCGTATAATATACCTTGTCCTTTCATTGAATGTTACAGTGCGGACACTCGAACCATGAACACTTCAAGTTTATTTTGACATTTTTTCATAACTATCCATTCACAGCTGTCGGTAGAAACGAAGGAATCAAAAAAATTTTAAGCGCCGTCCAATCATGACAAGCGGCAGAAAATCTTTAGATGTTTTAATTTTAGCTCGATCACGCTGTGTGAACTAATGAACTTCTAGACTGCCGCACAAAGTGCAAACTTTCAATAATTTTCAGAAATAAAACAAAAAATACCGGTATTGTTCTTTGACGAAGTGGCTGTTATAAAATAATTGATACACTTTATATTGTAAATTTTTAAAAACTTTAATGACAAAAATGACACAAGAGACTCTGGAATTGCACCAAAAAATGTTGGAACCTCGTTAAGAATCTAGTTGTGATTGGATGATTCGAAAAATTAGAAAAAAACAACAACTTGAAGTGTCCATGGTCAGTGGAGTGTTCACACAGTAAGATGCCACTGCATGTCAAAGAAGTGTCTTGAAAAAAATAAAAAGCATGATCTCAGTTTCTAGTTTCGATCCAACTGAGTTTGCGCGCCAATATACTTCACGGTTAGCTAGTTTATCAAAACGCATCCCACATGGAAAAGAATGACCATGGAAGGTTAGTCCTCAGTGATAAGAGTCCCATGTAGGACCCCCCCTTGCTAAAGACCACCATGCTGTCCCTTTTGCACATCTTGGGACACTGGTGCGAAGCTAAAACAAAAAGGGGTTAATCATCTACGGTCTAGGGGCCGACTAACCTCACCCTTAGGCTTCGGCCGAGCTTCCTGATCAGTCTGTAATTCCTCCCGGGATAGCGGTGTCGGGGTCGAAATCTCCGGC